TAATGTCCATCTGTTGTAGAACTCCTACGGGATCATTGCTCACAGAATGTGCGTCCTTTACTAGTGATATCGTATGCCTTGTGTTATCTAACTCATTAACAAATTCCTGTTCTGAAATCAATGTCTAGATTCTGGTATTTATTGAGAGTATTTTGTAGAAGTTGATTGATTTAGGTGTTAGTTTCAAATTCTTGGATGTCAAAAAGTTATTATACAACTAGGCAATAAGTTTGAGAAAACATGAGGAAAGATGCGTGATGGAATCTTTGAAACATCTTTGCATTCTATTGGAATGTCTTTGACATTTTTGTTATGTTTTTGAAGACGCAAAAACTCCCATCTTTGGAGAAAGTGGGTCTTCTAAAGGAGGCTCTTAAGGTAATTGATTATTCATTTTAGGTGATATTTCCCATTTCCCCCTTAACATCTATATGATTATTCATTTTAGTTGAATGCACCTAGTTGCAATTTGCAAGGATTTTTTTATCTGCCATTGCAAATTAGATATCTGTGACGCAATGAACTGAACCTATTAGTTGGTGCTATCAAATTTTAAAATTCCTTCTTATTACATATTGAATTTTTTGCTCACTATTCCCATGTGCATCGACCTAGTTGCCGCCATCAGTTTTTCATTGCTCTATGATCTTCAGATCTTGCCATACTACAATGTACTAACTTTGTGTGTTAATCTTAGCGAGAGAATTTACATAGTATGTTTGATTCCCATGGATAGTGATGATTATTCTTCATAAGAAGCTATACATCAAATCTCATGTTTGGCCTATGAGAATTATGTAAGCATATTGGTTTTGTTCTTAGCAATCATTCAGCATTTTTGTTGTAGCTGTCTCACAGACATGCAGCTGACAAAAAGAAGCAATATAGTCTTATTACTTGATGTTCATCTGTTAGAGAACTTTTACATGATCATTGATTACATAATGTAGGTCATTTATCAGTAATATCATATGCCTTTTGTTACCTAACTCCTTAACGAGCACTTGTTCTAAAATCAATGTCTAGATTCTGGTATTTATTGAGAGTATTTTGTAAAAGTTGATTGATCTAGGTGTTTGTTTCACATCCTTAGGTGTCAGAAAGTTCTTATACAACTAGGTAATAAGTTTGAGGAAACATGAGGCAATATGTGTGTTGAAATTATTCTTTTGTTTGTATTTCTTATTGGTGATGGAGTTGATTTCTCCAAAAGTAGGCTTGCTTATTTTCGGAAAGCAAAATGTTGATTTTGTTATCTTTTTTGTATTTTAGTTTTCATGTGTGATGAAATTATTCATTTGTTTGCAATTCCTGTAAGTCATGGAGCTAAATTCTACAAAAGTTGGCTTGCTTATTTTCGGAAAGCAAAAGGTTATCTTTTTTGTGTTTCGTTTCCATGTGTTCAAGAAATTCTGTTTTTATTTTAATTGTTTTCTTTGTCTGTAAAACTAAAATAGATTGGCTCGGGGATGACGCTATCATCACACACTAAGCTGCGCTCACCACTGTGGGCGCAGCGTGGATTGGCATTATTGCATTTCTATTTGAGTATCTAAGAAAAGGTAGTCAAAAATTGAAAAAGAGAAGAGATATGCTGAAACTTGCGGAAGAGGCTACAACATTGAGCATAATTTTAAGTATTTTGGCTTTTTCCCAATTGAGCTTAGCAAATGCTAAGCTTAATACTTTGGTCGACACTGTCAAATTGGTGCAATGCATTCTCTTTATATTATATTTTTATGAATAAATATTATTCAAAATAACTAGGTTATGTTTGCCTTTACAGTTGTGTACAATGCATCTCTTTGGATTATGTTTTTATGAATGACTAGATTATTCAAAATATAATTTGGTGCAAATTTTTTTGCAGATGCTGAATGCAATTGTTATATTTGCTTGTTTGGTTATTTTTTACATCACGTACAAGACCTGTTCTAATTAAACGAGTATAACTATTTTTAAACTTGTTTCACGTGGCAATAATCCGAACGAACACGAGTCTTTTTAGAGCATTCCACTGAAGGGCACTGCTTATTCTCTCTCTCTCTCTCATACGATAAACGTAATTGCCGAAAGTTTACTTAATTCGAAACGATATATTTCCAACTGTTGCCAGCAAACTTGTAGTTGTTCAACAAGTTTTTAGATTTTTTGTGTGCTTGATACTTGGTTGAATTCTTTGCTTACAACTCTGTTTATCATTTGTAGTTGGAATTTGACGAGTCCACGACTGCATCTGAAGATGGTGATGATAAATTGAGCAAGAAAGTCAAGTGAGTGAGGTGAAGTGCCGTTCCAAAGAAAAACCATTGCGCCTTGGTTATGGAATACAATTATTTCAGTCAAGGACCCAAAAAGCCTTAAAAAGCTTAGTCTTGTGCAACAGCACTAACGAGGTTGTAACATACTTTTGAGTTGGGAGTTTAATAAAAATAGACGACCAGTTCAGATTTATATGTTTCTCTCTGGTATTGATAGCCTTATCCAATTTTGAATTTGTTTTTTTTCATCTCATTTCCTTTGTACTAAAAGTATTTCGGACTTTCTAAGTTTACCCAGATAGTGAAATTATTTTCCCGAAAACGTTTGTATGTAATTTGTGATCCCTGCAATTAAAAAAAGTCTCTTAATTTGCTTTTTTAGTTTTGTCAAATTGGGCTATTTAAAAAACTTTGTAATTTTCAAATACTGATTCTTTGTTTATTTTATTCTATATTATATATTGGTAAATTACAAACAAACCTAACAAATATAGATTTTTTAATTGTGACTATAAAATGACAAAATGCCCTTTACTCTTATATGTATAATAATAAAAAATTTTGAAATTCTCTCTCCCTAACAGAGTCTTCAAATCCTCTCTACTAAATCCTACATCATAAAGGTTATTGAATCATAACCTTGAAGCATTTGGATAGTTGCGTTGTGTTTATAGTTCCAATTGGACATTAGGACAGATTGCAGCAAAAAAATTAAAATTTTGGAGGCAAAGGCAAGTTCACTAATTGGAGATAAGGAAAAATAAGTATAATATACTGGATTTTGTTGCTTGGGTTACCACATCTTGTACAACATTTTCGATAGGGTCACCTTCCCCCTCCCAACCCCCTCCTCCACCTCCACCTCCACCTCCGTAGCCATCCTCAATTCACCACCATCACGTTTTCCCTCTTACCCCCCACAACCACCACCTTTTTCCTCCTATCATTAGCCATCGAGAATATCTTCTTTATCAATTTCCCTCAATTTCATGTAAATCAAACTACCACAGACATCTCCCACCTCCTCCTTCATCACCAAAAATCCAAATCCCACCACCCCTTTGTTTGTCCCCACCTCATCTCTCTCTCTCCACATATCGGCAAATCCATACACAATCACTGAACCCTAACCCAACAATCAAGACCTCTTGCCTAGTCAAAAGTTTGACATGTTCATTGATGGAGCCAACAAGACCGCCACTTAATCATCATTGTTTCGAGAGCTCGATCTTTGATGGGGTTTGAATATGCAATCGCTTGTGAGATTTAATGGAAGAGAGAATTGTAAAGAGAGAGAAACAGGAAGAGACATGGTTATGGGCAAAATGGGTACTTTGAAAAATAAACTTGTTGACATCTTACGATTATGTTAGTTGACCTAATGATTGACCAATAGAGGGGGAAAATTGTAATATGATAATAACTCTCATGTGGCAGGACGTAATTTTCAAAGCCACTGGGCTAATACTCAATTATTTATTTATTTATTTCAATCTCTCATATTTTGTCAAATTTACCAAAATGCCCTTATAAGTTACATTACTGATTTTTCCTTATGGCTAAATTACCAAAACACTCTCTCTCTTTCCCAAAGTCCTGTCTACGGGATATGAGAGTAGCGACCACCTCATCAAGCCCCAAGGTGTTCGTCTAAGAAGCACGAAACTTCTAAGAAGGTAACATATCCATGTCGTGTTCGTGTTGGACACCGACACTCTTGGGACACTCTTAGGACACGTGTCCGTCACTCTTCAAAACGTGTTCTATTTTTAAAATTTTTTTAAAGACCCGAACACTCTTTGGACACTTGGAGAATACGTGTCCATTGCTTAACCACGCGTGTCTATCGATTAGACATGTGAAACTAATTATAAATTTGAACAAAACAATTTAAGATATAATAATAAAACAAAAACTGTACAAATTTATAAGAATTAGTGTCTATTGCATTTTTTATTATCTTTAAATGGTATATGTTAGAATAATATATTATTATTTTTTGTTATTATTTTGTAATTATTCTATGCCTTAGGGCTCACCTTGTAATTATGAACTTCATTAATATAAATAGGGGATATATCCTAATCATTTCTCTAAAATAATATGGTATCAGAGCCTAATCCTAAAATCTAAATTCCTCGCCCATACAGTACCCACCACACAGTCGTCAATAACCACGACAAAGCCAGTCTTGTCACTTGCCGACGACGCTAAGGCCAGGAGGCCTGATGGCAGTGGTCGACTAGGCTGGGAAAGCCCTAGGCAGCCCTGACTGGGTGTGTCGTTCCATCTGTCCTTGTCGACTTGGACGCTCTGGTTCTCTCTTCGTGATGATGTGTCGCTGAGTTACCCTTGGTTGTGGTCTATATTTCAACTAAACCTCTGCTTTGTTTTCCCTTTAATCTAAAAAAAAATAAATAAATAAATTTTGCAGTAAAGAAGAAAAAAAAGTTGACGAGTTTTTAAGTACTTAATTTTCTTAATGGTCATTGTGTTGTATTCCTCTACCCTCCGGGTTTGTGATTGACACTAGTTTTGTTGAGGGTTCAGTATTATAGTATCTATGCCAGATTCCACCGGTGTGTCCACTACTTCTCAGACACCTAAGAATGAGAGTTTCCTTATACATACTACTATGACTGATAACCCCAACCTTAGTCTTAAAATCACTACCTCTCTATTTAATGGTCAGAACTATCTCGTGTGGTTGTAAAGTTTGACTATTTTTTTAAAGAGCAGAGGGAAGATGTGGTATGCAGATGGCAGGATACAGGCACCCAACTCAGCTGGCCCAAGGTTATGACCAATGTGAGATTATCAACTCTCTGATTATGGGTTGCCTTATTCATTTGATGGTACCAGACATTGGCGAAGGCTACTTATCTATGGAGACTGCCCAAGATGTTTGGGATGCTGTGGCTACCACCTATTCTCTCGCAAAGGGAATGAGTTACGCCACTCGATTGACAGCTTTGTTCAGGGGGAGTAGACGGTTCTTCAGTACTTCACCTTCCTCACCAATGATTGGAAACACCTTGATCACCTGCAGGACTATAAGCTTGTTTGCACTGCTGATTCAGTCGGGTATCGGAAGTTCATTGCACAGAAAAGGGTCTTCAAGTTTCTAGCCGATCTTAATGTGGAGTGTGATCCGCTTCGGAGTCTGGTTTTGAGTATAGACAACTTTCCTTCACTTCAAGAGGCATTTGCCTATGTACAGAATGAGGAGAGTCGCCAATCTGCTGTGATGTCCCCTATCTCTACCGATCGCTCAGCATTACTGTCTACCTCTAGAGATGGCTTCAGCCTGACTCCCATTCCTCTGTTTGTCACCAAAGAGTTTGTTTTCTGTGATTACTGTAAGAAGCCGTGGCATACTCATGAGATGTGTTAGAAGCTTCATGGGACTCCGTCTGGGGGTCGAGGTGATCGGTCTGGTTCTAGAGGAGGTCGGTCAGGCCAGTCTAGAGGACGTGGCTCTTATCCATGGGCTCATCAGTCTGGTGATGTTGATACACTTGATTCTACTTCTGCTTCCGTTGGCCAGGCTTCTGATGGTCTCTCTGGCATGACTACTCATGATCTTGACGATGTTTTGCGTCACTTGGTGGACCGCCGGTCTTCTACTGCTCTCAGCACATCTTACGCGTCGTTTGCCTGCTCAGGTAAATTAGCCTTTTCTCCTTGTGTTGTGTTGTCTCATACGTCTTTTCCTTAGATTATTGATTCTGGTGTCTCAGATTATATGTCTGGTTCCTCTGACCTTTTCTCTGCCTGTAAGCCCTTTTTAGGTCAGGACAAAGTTAGGATTATATATGGTACTATTTCTTTTATTTTTAGGAAAGGTTTAGTCCATGTTACTTTTACTTTACCTCTCTCTTCTATTCTCCATGTTCCCAATTTTTCTATTAACTTGTTATGAGTTGTATTACAAAGGATTTGAATTGTAGTAGCATTTTTTCTTTGATCATTGTCTTTTTCAGGACCTTGTCACGAGGAGAACGATTGGCAGTGGTAGTGCAGAAAATGGTCTCTACTTCCTGGATCAACCGGACAAGCTTGCTCATTCTTCTACACAAGTCCAACTACCACCGATAATATATGGCTGTGGCATCATCGTCTTGGGCATCCTTATTTTTATTTACTTGAGCACTTATTTCCATCTATTTTAAAAAATAATAATGTGTCTAAATTTCTTTGTGAGTCTTGTCAACTTGGAAAACAACACTGAAGCATTTATTTTTTTAAAGAGCAGAGGGAAGTTGTGGTATGTAGATGGCAGGATATAGGCACTCAACTCAAGTGGCCCAGGTTATAACCAATGAGAGATTATCAACTCTTTGATTATGGGTTGGCTTATTCATTCGATGATACCAGACATTGGCAAGGGCTACTTATCTATGGGGCCACTGTCAAAATATTATGTTCTGATAATGGGGGTGAATACATAGATTCTGGGTTAGGGTAATATTTTTCTACTCATGGCATTATCCATCAGACCTCTCGCACCAATACCCCTCAACAAAATGAGTGGCGGAACGCAGGAATCGCCATCTTCTTGACATGGTTCGGTGCATGTGTTTTTCTATGAATATGCCTCGATTTTACTGGGGCGACGTTCTCACTGTTTATTAATCGTCTTTCTCACCGTTGACATCCTTTTCAAGTCCTCCTAGGTTCCCAGTCCTTGTTTTTTATTCCTCCCAAAATATTTGGTTGTGTTTGTTTTGTCTATAAGCACTCTCCTACTCGTGTTGGACCCTCGTTCCCTCAAATGTGTTTTCCTTGGGTACTCTCCTACTCAAAAAGAAAATATGTGTTAACACCTTCCTTCTCGTAAGTGGTTTGTGTCCATGGATGTCACATTCTTTGAGTCCCAGTCATCCCTTCAGGGGGTCCCTTGGTGTGTAGTGATTTCTGTGATTCCTATGGTGGAATCAATTGTTCTTGCACTACCACCTCCTATTGGGACTACAGAACCCAATGTCACCAAGGGTAGGGACGAGCAAGTTTATGTTTGGGACAAAGACAAACAAAAAGTTAACTGGATACAAGAGACCACTTCTGCTCTTCCACTGCCATCTCCTGCTTATAATGACAATCCAAGTTAGATTGGCCGCTTCGTCAATTTGATGTAAAGAATGCTTTTCTCCATGATGACCTTGAAGAAGAGGTATATATGGACATTCCTCCTGGTTTTGAGGATCATTAGACAGAAGGCAAGGTATGTAGGCTTCAGAAGTCATTATATGGTCTCAAACAATGTCCAAGGGCTTGGTTTGAGAGATTCACTCAGGCTATGGCTTCAAACAGAGTCAGGTAGATCACACGTTGTTTGCGAAACATCCTCACTTGGTAAGACTACAACACTCATTGTTTATGTAGATGTCATAGTTCTTACGGGCGATGATGGTGGGAAAATTCCTCTGTTAATGAAATATTTAGCCAGTGAGTTTGAAATTAAAGATTTGGAGAGCTTGTAGTATTTTCTGGGAATTGAAGTTGCTCGTTCTAAGGATGGGATGTTTATCTCACAGAAGAAGTATGTGCTTGATCTGTTGAAGGAAACTAGAATGCTTGGTTGCAAGGCCTGTGACACTCTACTAGAACCCAATCAGAAACTAGGGGATGATGAAGGAGGAGCAGCTGTTGACAGGGAGAGCTATCAGTGATTAGTGGGTAAACTCATTTACCTATCTCACTCCCGTCTTGATATTGTTGTTGCTGTCAGTGTGGTTAGCCAGTTTATGCATGCTCCTCATCAGATTTACTTAGAGGTTGTCATGAGAATTTTGAGGTACTTGAAGTCTGCTCCTGGTAAGGGTCTTTATTTTTCAAAGTATGATCATCTTCGTGTGGAAGCCTATACAGATACTGACTGGACTGGATCAGTGACTGATAGAAGATCGACTTTAGGGTATTGCACCTTTGTTGGAGGCAACCTAGTTACTTGAAGGAGTAAGAAACAGAATGTGGTTGCTAGGTCAAGTGCAGAAGCTGAGTTTAGAGCTATGGCACAAGAAGTGTGTGAGCTCTTATGGATCAAGTTATTGTTGAGTGATCTAGGTATTGGTCAGATGGACTCCATGCGGTTATACTGTGATAATAAGGCTGCTATCAATATCGCTCACAATCCGATTTAACATGACAGAACAAAGCATGTTGAGATTGAATGCCACTTCATTAAGGAGAAGCTCACTAGTGGCACAATATGTACTCCGTTTGTGCAGTCTGGTGAACAACTTGCTGACATCCTCACTAAGGGAGTTGGGAGTAAGCCATTTCATGACATCTTAGGCAAGCTAGGTATGAGAGATATCTTCGCACCAGCTTGAGGAGAGTGTTATAATAATATATTATTATTTTGTAATTATTCTATGCCTTATGGTTCACCTTATAATTATTAACTTTATTAATATAAATAGGGGATGATATCATAATCATTCCCTATTCTCTAAAATAATGGTATATTCATATATATAACATATAATAAATATATAGAACTATATATTTCATGCATGTTTCGCATTTTTTTAAAAATTAGCGTGTTGGCGTGTCCATGTCATATCCTTATTGTGTCACATGTCCATGTCCATGCTTCTTAGGTATCCGTCCCATACATGAACATGGTTCTTAGATGCTCGTACGACAACGATAAACAGACCAACAAGAGGACGCCTTAGCAACAATTATGTTATTTACTTTTTTTGGCTCGTCAGTTTGTTTGTAAACAGTTGTTTATCGTGCTCATACTTTTGCAGGCAATTTCTAGGCCATCCACTTTGTTTGAGATGATTAGAGATTATGAACAAGCAACAATGGATCTTCAAAGACTAGTGTCTCTTCTCATGAAGCAAGTGGAGGATAAGGCCAATCAGTCTGGTGCATCTGATAGAATGAGCAGTGTGAATGAGTTAAGACAAGCTGAACAATGGTTTCTATAATGGAAGAAGCGAGAAAGGAAATTCACTTGAATATGTACCTCATTTTGTAAGTTTTCCTTTCAGTTTATGATATTAACTATGTGAATTTGTTATCTTATGTTATACTGTGGTGTCACGTAAAAATTTCAACAATTGCATGCATGAATGTGTCCTCCTAATCCAAATTTCTACCAAAATCCATGATCTAAACACAGCATAAAGAAAATAGACTTGATAATTTAGAAATGAAACTCATAATAAAACCTTATATTGTTGAGATAGTTAACTCTAGAGATTGTAAGACATACAAGTGGACAAAATAACAAGTGCGAGAAATAAGGCAAGGACAACAGGAGAAATGGCGGCCCTCACCACTTTAATCTTATTACTTAAAGTGAAAGGACTGACGTACCCTTATTCTTAATACTCATACTAACATTCCCCCTCCAGCCGGAGCATATCAAATAAATTAATGAACCTTCCCCATAGCCTTGGTGTACACAACTAGTCCCAAAAACTTAGGAAAGGGCCAAACAATGCATATCAAGCTCTCCAACACCTTTCCTCACATGTAAAATATGTAGAGAAATATAATATAAGCGTAGAAACAAATGTAAACAAATGTAAATGAAGAGACTTGAACCTAAGATCTCTCATTACTTGAGCTCTAATAGCATGTTAAATCACCACTAGTCCTGAAGCTTAATCTGTTAGGAAAGGGACCCAACAATGCATATCAAGTTTCCAACAAACACATCTCCAATTGAACTTCATACCTAACATCGCTTGTATTAATCCACTCCCTCATGACCATCTCATGACCATATCTCAAATAAATTGACAACTATAATTTGCTTTGTTCACTTATGAAACACTTTATTATTTGTAATTTGTAATTATTGGTTATTGCAAAATACTTACATAGGCCCCTTAGTTCTAAACCCCATCTTTTCTAGCAATGAAGCTACCGTTGTGATCACACATTTTGCATTGGGCATCGCTCTGTTCTTTGCCTCATTTTGCACTTCATCTTGTTACAACATTTCATGTAACCAAATTAACATCAATTGTTAACCAGGTATTGAACATTGATCCACGTGATCTCCAATAGCAATTGAATTTCCTACAATGTGAAAAGAATTGGATTGTTTAAGCACCAAACCTCTTCTCATGCAATTTTGAAGTATCTTAAAATTTTTACAAACAACATCCCACTGTTGTTGTTTCGGGCTTAGTGTGGAACTAGGGGTGTTCAAGGATCCGAACTACCCGAAAATCTGATCCAAACTGTCTGACCTGACCCACCAAGAAGTCTTATCACCTTGTTCAATTAATCTAATTACTTTTAATATTTATTATCAGAATCTTATAATTCGCAATTTGATTCACAATCGACATGAATCTATAATTGAATCTATTTTGGAAATGAATCTTTACTAAATCGCCTGATTTGCAATTCTTGAAACTATCATGTCCGACATATTTTGATTATTTTTTTCTTCCATTTTTTAGTTAAAATGACATAATACAATTTATAGTAGTGTTTAGTAAGAAAATTACCAATATATATACATGTTTGTTGTTATTTTAGAGATCATGAAGCTTTTAATAGGATCCATTCAATTCAGTCAAACCCAACATGTTTTTAACCATTTCTTCTCATTTATTCTCTTAAAAAAATCATAATGTATATTCTAAAGATGTTTGAGGTTAAAGTAATTTACAATATAAATCATTTATTGCTATTTTATTAAAATAAACATACTTCAATACTACATGAGTGAGCTCAGTTAAATCTAATGGTTTTGCAAGTTCTTTATTATTAGGTCATTGTTACTTCTAAAGGTATATATGCTTATGAAGTATCAACATCATTGTTAAGTTATTGTTACTTGAAAATTGAGAGTGTCTCTGTTTACTTTCTTTATTAAGAATGGTTGATAAGCAATATCTGAAAGAGGGAAAATATAATATGGTGATCTTACATGGGAAACTGTGTTAACTTTGTACCTATTAGACCGCATTATCATCATTTGAAATAACATTTTTTATTCGCGATTCAGTACAAGGTCATTTCGATTAACGATTCAATTCACGATTTGACAACTATGCTTTTAATGACAAAGTCTTATCCCCTTCCCCTTCCCAAGATAGACTTTTATTTTTACTTTTTTAGCTTCATTCCTTTCTCTAACCCTCTAGTCTCCCCCCTGTCTTTCAACCTTCTCATCTCATCTTATCTCATTTCCCTCCCTCCCTCCCTCTAGTCTCGTTCTCTCTCACCCTTTTATCTCCCTTCCTCTTAACCTTGCATTTATCTTTGCAAAAAACATTATCTCCTCCCGCCTTTTCAATTCATCTCTCACCATTTATAGTCTCTCTCATTTGAAACCTTTTTTCTTTTCTTAATCTCTCTCTGCTGGTCTCTGCTGGTGGCAATGGTGTTAATTAACAATGATGATGATGTTGAGATCTAAGGTGAAGTTCAGTCTTTACTCTCTAATCTGTTTTCATATTCAATATTCTTAGATCTATCTCTTCTATTTATATATGTTTGAATCACAACATGAGAGAAAATGGGGAGTAGATTTGAGTTGCATATGTATTTCACTGACCGCCAATCCGAATGGTGGGTTGTAGTCGATTTTGAATGTATTCTCAGTCGGTAGAGAGGCAAATTTTCTAAATCAATATATTCGTGGGCTAAGGGTACACCCGACCCGAATCGACCCGTGAACACCCCTACGTGAAACCACTCCAATTACAAATATTATAGCATGTCACGTTGAAATAAAGTATTTCCTTTTCAGTCCTCTAATTATCAAAAGCTTTTCTTTGGGATCTATTGATCCGTCCGCATCGCAAAGCTGGTTGATGCCAACTGTAATGGTTGAAAATCCAAGACCCCTAATAACACTTTGTTCGATAAAGCAAACGATTCGTTTTGACAACTTCGGACCAGACTAATCCCTTTGAATTAGTCGATTTTACAAGATCGATTGAGCGGGCTGGTTGGGAAGGGTTGATTCGCAGAGAAAAGAATTGCTGAGAGATATATTCTACTATTTGGTCAGGACGAATGAGTGGCTGTGAAGCGTGCTCGGGAGTAGATTGACCCTTAGTTGCAGGAATCGTGCAACCAGGTGGCAATTCTGAGTAAGAATCGCCATTCCGCGTTTCCTAGAAAGAAACGTATAAGAATCGCGTTTCTGTGGAGAGAAACATGATTCAATCCAAGATGGGATCGTAAAAGGGAGAGAGAGAGAGAGAGAAACCTGGTCTCGCTGTCGCCTTCTCCTTCGACATCGACGTCGACTTCGCCTTCGATCTGCTCGCGATCGCTCTCGCCTTCGATCTTCTCGACATTGCCTTCGCCATCGCCCTTCTTGTACTTCGATCTGCTTCTTCTTCGCCCTTCTTCTTCTTCTTCGATCTGTTTTCGAAGAAATTATATTATTTATTCTTATATAACAATAATAGTATAGATAATAAATATAATAAATATAATAAACAATATAATTTGTTATATAAGAATAAATCTAATTAAATCAAATATAATAAAAAAAATCAAATAAAATCTATAAAATAAATCACTCAATTTTTATTTTTTATTTATTTAACATATTTTATTATTCCTTTTTATATTTTTTATTTATAATATATATCAATTAAAAATAAAAATAATACCTAAGATAAAAATAATAAATATATTTAAAAATAACTATTTAACTCACCTTTATATAATAAATATATTCTTAAAATAACTATTAAAAATATATATATATATATTACCGCTCCCCGAGGCGCTCCCAATCTAAGAAACTTCTATCGGTTCACGCTTCCCCGCTCCCGCTCCTGCCCCCGCTCCCGCCCCCACTCCCGCTTCGTTCAACTAAGGATTGACCCTTCCCCATGTCAGTATAGTCGTCATCACACATGTTTCTTTTAGAATGTCAATTACTTGGTAATCTTTCTCTTTCTCTATGGTGGTGTTATCACTTGAATAATAGGATTATGAGGTTATTGCCAAAATTACTTCATCAACATCAATTTTGAAACAAACTAGGTGGGTGTAGTATGGGAATTAAATGGATTCAAACAAGGGTATGGGGCTTTCTCTTCATAGCTCTAGTCCAGATGTGCGACTGATTGTTTAAAGGAGGGAGGGGATGAAGTCAAGTTGAGGGGGAAATGATGGTAAGGGTAAGATGAATCTTGTAGTTGGGATGTAAATAGCAGATTTGGATAGCTCTATTTCTGAGAGGTGTGAAGAGAAGGCGACGATGTCTACAGATTCATGTCTTTCTCTGGCTATGTTTAATCTTTTGAGGATGGGGGTCTTTTGTTCAATGACAGTCAACGATGAGGTAGAGGTCGAAAAGATGGACAGGGTATTGTTTATTAGCAATGTAAGGGGGATGGAGTTCTATGTTGAATTTGTTGATAATGACTTTTTAATATTGATGAAAGTAGGCAAATCTACTCGTAATTGCGAGAAGTTTTCATGCATTATTGATAAGGGAGGTAGTTTGAGCCATGAACAAATTGAACAATTGGTTAGAGCATCTCCAATGGTGTTTGCTAAAATAACATTGCCATTGCTATAATTTGTCAATGAATAGTGTTATTTTGCCAAATTGGAGCACCTCCAATGGTCACATACTATTTTGGCAAACCTCAACTAATTTTTCCTCCAAGTTTATAGGTGTTGTTTGGATATAGGTTTTTTAGTGATTTTTTTTAGTGATTTCTTTTTTGTCTTTAGTGACATTTTTTTAACTGTTTCTAAAAAAAACTATATATTTACATTATTCCCGACTAGACAAATATAAAAAATGAAAAAAAATTGAAGGAAAAAAAAAATTAAATATAATTCACTGTACCAAAACGGCTTCATACCTTCCATTTTTTTTTTTTTTGGTTTTTATTAACCAAACAGAGCACAACAACTCTATTTCTTTCGTCACCACTGTCCACGTACAAACCATCAACGGTTGAGATGATTTGTGTAGAATCATCCAACCTTTTTCCTCTTCCTCTCACTCTCTCTCTAACCTTTTCGTCCTCCCTCACCCTCTCAGTCTCCCGCTTTCTCTCATTCTCAGATATCATCTCTCCTCTCTCTGTTCGAGTGGCGATGGTGTCGACCCTCAATCGCCGAAGACCAACAGCAACCTCTATCTCCCTCTCACTCTCACTCTATCCCTCTCACTCTCTCCTCTCTCTCTCTCTTCGATCGGTGACGGTGTCTACCCCCAATTGCCAAAGACAACCTTTCCTCTCTCTCTCCCTCACTCTCACTCTATCCCTCTCCCTCTCACTCTCAGTCTCCCTCTCCCCCAAGCGCCGCCATCTACCCCCACCCCTTTCTCTCATTTCTCTCTCTCTCTCTCTCTCTCTCTCTCACTCCTAGAATGGATCGGCGATGTTAGACAAGATCACGAAGAAGATTGAAACCCTAATGAACACAAAGAAGATCAACCTATTTCTGTCAAGTATGTTTTTTGATTTCACTTTGTTGATTTTCTAATTTTAAAATTTTTTTTTGCTTCAAATTGCTGAAATTGAAATTTGGAAATTGATTTTGTGTTTTGAAAGGATGGTGATTGTTGATTTTCTAAATTGATTCTGTGTTTTTAAATCATTGTGTTTTGAAAGGAAATTGATTGTTGATTCTGTGTTTGGAAATTTGGTACTTGATGATTCTGTGTTTTAAATTGTTTATTTTCTAGCTTGCTTCTGGTTCTTATTGTTTTGCTTGAATTTGTATGAATGCCATTTAATTGTGTTTTGAAAGGATGGTGATTGTTGATTTTCTAAATTGATTCTGTGTTTTTAAATCATTGTGTTTTGAAAGGAAATTGATTGTTGATTCTGTGTTTTAAATTTTTAAATTGTTTATTTTCTAGCTTGATTCTGTGTTTTGAAATTTGATATGTTTGAAATTTGTATGATTTTTGGGTGAATATTGCTTTTGTGTTTGGAAAGGATGATGAAAAAGGGAAGGAGGGAGGGAGGGAGGAAATAGTTGGTTGAAGTTGACTTCGCAGCTTTGGCATTTGCCAAAGATAACAACTGCTAAAACTTACCATTGGAGGTGCCTTTCTATCAACTGTTGCCATAATTTGGCAATAGCAACTCCAATGGCACGCCATTGGAGATGCTCTTAGGAAGGTGAGTGAATTGAAAGTAGAAGATAAAAAGTAGGAAGATTAGATTGATGGTTGTGCCATCCCGTTAATGTGTTGAATTATTTTAGCTATGTACATATATTTCTTAAATTTTATATAATTTTTTAGTCTCCACAAATACTGCAAATTGATGAAATTGTTCCACAAAAATTTTGGTTACTAAATTTGTTTTAATGCCATTGACATATACTGCAGATTGCCTTGAGAACGATTGTCTTCTTCTTCTAGGATGGAGGTCACCTGCAGTGATTGTGTCCTATGCTTGCCCAGTAGGACCAACACTAACCATCCTAGCTCTCTGAATTTCTTGGGTCTCGTAACCTGTGTCATGATACTGCTAGATATTTTGGCGACTTTTCTGTATGTATACAATTAGAGGTATGTTGACTTCTTAGCGTTGCAATTGCTTGCATCTATTCTTAAGAGGTGAAATGAAAGGAAAAAAGCTTACCACTTTTGACTTTCATGTACCAAAAATTTAGCTCTCTTGAAGCAAGGTGCCTCTATTTACATACCACCTTTCATCTCAAGGCATTAATTAGCTTATTTTTTATTACAATAGTAACCTAATGTAAAATGACCACAAAGGACAAAAGGCTATGATACACACTTTACGTAAAATTACCATAAAAGACAATAATGAATACAATACACACCAAACGTTACTTACGCATCTTCTCTCTCAAAAACCAAAAAATCCTGAAACAAAAACCAAAAACCCTTAAACAAACAACCAAAAATATACGTATTATTGAAGATTTTGATTGGACTGAATGATGGATGCATCTGGCAATATTGATTTGGAACAATAGAGCAAGGAAAATGTTAGTTTTTCAAATATATATATATATATATTTTTTTTGGTGTACTTGTTGTGTGGTAAACTGTTTGTATTCGTTCGGATATCCAGATTCGAACAATATACTCATGTTCGACTATCTACAATCGAACAAGTTCTAATTGTTCGATTTTCTAGTGTCGAACATATTAAAAGTGTTCGACATAAACACACTGGACAAAAGGTCAACGTTCAAAAGACTAGTGTCGAACGGTTTGCAAAATGAAATTTTCAAATACAATGCGCATGGCAACGGAAAAACGTACATAAAACCCTAAAATCTAAGACAAATGAGAATTTTCACGTACTGTATCTCCAATGTGGAGTTGTTTCCAACTGTGATGATAACAACGATCATCATCGACTTCTTTGATGATACAAGTAATGGAGGGGGTCGTGAATCAGAGGAGAATGGAGTGAAGTCGTCTTCAGCACGAATGGAGACCGGTTTAGACTGGTTTCCAAACCTCTAGGATGACAATGAAACAGAGAATGGAGGGGGACGTTGTGTGTGTTTTTGATGTGGAGGTGTGGAATATGGAAGGTTGAAGATTGTGGGTGGTGTGTGGAGTGAGTAAGGGTAAAGATGGAAAATTGTGGTATGTATTGAGCAAATTTCTTATTTATCAAATTACTAAAGGTGTGCCTTGAGATGAAAGGTGGTGTGTAAATAGACACCCCTTGAAGCAGTCTCAAACTGCCAATTATGCCCTTTAGTTTATGAAGTCATTTCATTTCAAGTAATGCGTTGCACACAAACTTAGAAGCGGGGGAGGCGGGAAAGAGAACCTTGTTTTGTGGCTAACATATTAACAATCCTCTACATCTTTTCTGCCATGTAGAGAAATGTCGGTGAAGCCCTCATTTAATTGGCCGGGAAACTTGCTGGTAGCCTGCTATCAGCTATGTGAATCCTATAATCTTACTCACCATGTCGGTATTTTTACTCCAGGTGTTCAGAGATTATAGTTTTTGCTATTTCTGTGATTCACTTAAATTTTGGGGAGCTGTTTTGTGTAAATAAAACTAGTAATAAGATTTGTATCCAATCCACCCTCCTAACTCCACCCAATTTTAGCAGAATAAAATGGCAAAAAAAGACTTACGTAGCCGACCCCACTTGGGTCATGTTAACGTGTGTCCTTAGGGCACATGTTAAGAAAGAAAAATATTATACATTCTTTGTCGCACCCACTTTATGCATAATGTATAATCTTTCTAAGCATCTTAACATGTGGCATACGTTAGCAAAATCCGTTTATATTTAGACTCTTTTGGATCACTCCTTTCCATGCACATTCTTCACCAGTTGCTATCCTCTTAATGCTGATATATATTTATATATATGCAAATTACTATCCTCTTAATATATACATATATGTCCTTAACTGTGTTTTTAATTTGGTCAATTGCTGTCTGTTTGTAGCAGTCACGGTATGATCTAGAAGAGGAGATGTGTAATGCTCAAAGAGAGGCAGTGGAGGCAGCTCATCAAAAATGCATACAGATGCCCAGAATTATCCATTTGAGAAAAGCAGCAGCAATAGGCAGCAATGGTGAGAGGTCTGGAGATCACATGGACATTCCCAACCCAACCTAGAGGCTCAGAAACAACTCGACGGAGCAGATTCTCATGATAACTGTTGGCTAGGTCTCCCAGAAAAATCTTGGCGATTTCAGATCATAACCATCTGATTGATGCCTAGTTGGATGATTATTTTGGCCAATAAGCTACATTTCATGTTTAGCTTCTGTGAGAGGTTCAGCTTATGGACAAGGACTTCATGCCGCTCTTCAAGAATAGATCGTGTGCACATAGATGGAGGTTTGAGAGTGAGGATTCTAGTGACTGAAAAAACATCATTTTTGAAACGTTTAAAAAAAAATGAAAAAAGAAAGAAAAAAAGAAGAGAGGTCAATGTAAAATAGATTCACATGAGAGAGGGAGAGGAGGAGCTCTGCGTATGGATTGGCAATGTGTACAGAGAAACAATGAATGTGTGGATGCAACTGACAAGAGTATGTTATATGTACCAGCAATGTGTACATGAATTCATCGCATTGAGAAAGATTGGTGGCCTTGACTGTTTGACTAATTTCAGTTGGGACGTTCCTAATGACAAAAGAATGCATTTTTCCCAGAGAGGCCTGCCTGGAAGCACTTTGTCCAAACAGAACTTGTGTTTTGTCTCTTTTTCTTGGCATAATTTCTTTTTCTTTTTTTTTCCTCTTTTCTTCTTTGGTTTCTCGGAGAGTATGAAATGTTGTTAGTATAAGGTCACTGTTTGTGTTGTTTGTCTGGAAGTCTAGAAAATTAACAAAGACAAGATGACAAAATTTGTATTACATTGTGTTGTCCAACAATTTGTGGGTTGAAGCATTTGGTTGTGTTTCTGTTTTGATTTTGTGAACTAAAGCTTTAAGTAGTTGTACCCAAAAAAAAAAATTAAGGTTTAAATTGAACTTGGATCTTATCTTTTGTGTCAACATTTTTCCTTCGATTTTTTTTCCCAGTCAGTTTGTTAAAAATATGGAAATTGCAGTTACTAATTTTGGACCTGTCTGTTAGCATTTCATATTTTAGACCATATTTTGTTTCAATACACATTGTTTACACCATTTAGATATCAATTTTCAAATAGAAACAAAATGCTCGAATTTCAAATTCTAAATAAAATTCAATTGTTCGAACAAAAATCTTGTTCAATAGTTGATATCCGAATATTTTTATTTTATTCAAAAGTTAATATTCAAACGGCACAAATAGAATGTTTTGAGACAAAGTGGTGTGCAAATAGGGTTCGAACAAAAATCTTGTTCAATAGTTGATATCCGAATATTTTTATTTTTTTCAAAAGTTAATATTCAAACGGCACAAATAGAATGTTTTGAGACAAAGTGGTGTGCAAATAGGATCACTTAATACTTTATTTAAGTTGGAAATATCAACAAATATGTGCAAGCAAATGCAATCACTCATAACAGTTTTGAACCGGAAAAAAAAAAGAGAAAAAAAGAAAAAATTATCAAAGTTCAATTTGTAGAGAATAGGGAAAGGGGTGGGAGTGTATGTTGGTGGAGGGGCTATGCACTGTGCTGGTTGTGTGGTGTTGAAGGCGCATTTTCCTGTACAAGATAAATCAGTCATTAATTTTTTAAATAGGGTAGATTTTTAATTTATTTCAGTATTAGGGTAAAATGCGATTCTTAACTAAGTTTTTCAAAAAAAAAAATGAAAAAATGAAAAACGTGATTTCTACCAAAGTCTTTTAACCTTTTTGTAGTATTAAAATAATATTATTTTATTATTAAAAAAACACATTTTTTTATTTAATTATTAGTGGTTACTAATTTGTTTTCCTGACTAAAAGCGTATTTAAAAATAAAATTTTATTCATTTATATAAAAAAATGTCCTTACTAAAAAGTTCCTTTTTAATAAAAAAAAAAGTTTTATCCAAGTCATTTATATGAAAAACCTTCTTAATAACATATTTTATATATCCCACACTCCCCTTTGTTTTTTTTTCCTTTTATTCTCTTCACTCTGTAATCAATGTTCCTCCATTTTTGACACTCCGGCCTCAACCATCACTCCCTTCCTTCTCTCTTCTTAGAGACTTGCATTGTCAATGTCCCCACCACCACCAAGTAAGTCCATCTCTCTCTTTATTTTTGAACACTAGTTTTCAAATATTTGAATTATTTAATTTCATTAAGGTGCTTTCCTTTTTTTTTTTCTTTTTCTTTTCTTTTTTTTTTTTTAGCTCGTATATGTTTAGGATAGTGTAATCGTACACATTTGCTATGTATACTTGCAAAGTTCAATAAAATGTCACAACCAAACCAATTATTGACTTCTACTTCTTCTTTGATGATTTTTTATGTGTGTGTGTGTGTCAAATCTTAGACATATTGATTTTAGGGTTTGAAAATAGAAGAATAGGTGAGCTATATTTTAAGAAATCATAAAAAGTGATAGTGTGTGTGAGAGAGAAATTGTTATTCAAGGTTTGCTCAATGTTAAGGAATGCTTGTAAAGTGAGAAATTTCAGTCAAAGTTTTGCTCAATGGGAAGGAATACTTGTAAATGCCATTCAAGAAATATATTTCATTTGAGGCATTTACCTATAGGATGATAAAAGAATTTTAGGCTCCTTTTAGTTAGTTCACATTTAGGCCTCGTTTGGGAACAGGCTAATTTAGTAATTTTTTGGCTATTTGGCTAAAATATGAGCTAAAAAAAACTAGTATGTTTGGGATAATTTTTTGGCTTTTTACGAAAAGATGTGCAAAAAGTAGAGAGAGAAGAGAATCTTTGACTTTTTAGCTAAAAGGGAAGGTTCCCAAACGAGGCCTTAGAAAATGCTTTTCTAACTTTTATGGGTAAGTTCACTAAGAATGAGGCTTCCCTCCTATTGGGCCTATGTGGGTCTATCACAGGTTTCGTTTCGATAATCTGAATCGTTTATATGTAGAATTCGTCGAGTACTATCTGCCTGTAAAAAATCACGTTGATTGGATATCGATAGCTATATGATCAAATTAGATTTTTGTTTATTTTTCATCATTCATTTTTTTTTTCATACAAAACTGATTTGATCACATAGTTATCGATATCCAATCAACATGATTTTTTACATACATATAGTACTGGACAATTTCTACACATCAACAATTTAAATTACCAAAATAGGACCAGTGGTAAGCCCTCACTAGTTTAATAATACTTTCCAATCCGATAAAGGACGGAAAAGAAGCATCATCCGTTCAGTAAAATGTTATATTTGATTTTTTACTAGGTCATGTTTGACTTGACGTGAGTGTCTATAGTAGTATACATTTATTATTTATTTCAATTGGGCGAATTCTTTTTCATTCACCTTTTTGCATTGTTAACTTTTTACGAGAGGTTTTTTTTTATATATTTTTTTTTATTAATTATAACAGAAAATCAAGGCTGATAGTTTATTTTAGGATAAATTACAAATACACTCTCTGATGTTTGCTTAAAATATAGATTGTCCTTTGTGATTTGAATAATTACAAATACCCCCTTATTAGAATTTTTTATTTAACAGAATTAACTAAAAAAATAAAATTCATAATTGTTCTCCTATATAATAATAAAATTACTTAAATTATTAATTAAACCATATTTTTAACATCATTAAAAACTGTTAATTAACTTGATGATTTATTAATAAAATAAACGATTTGTTATGAAATTAAAAATTTCAAGAAGTAGAATGTAATTTTTAAAATTACAAAGACAATTTATATTTTAATCAAATCTCAAAAGATATATTTGTAATTTACCCTCTATTGTTATTGAGTAATAATATGTGCTCTTTACGTGAATTTCTATAGGAGTAGATACGTAGAATGCCAGTCTTTCTTTTACTTACTGTGTTTATTTTCTATCAAGGCGCCAATATTACCTAGTATTATTTCATCATTTCATGAAATGAAGCTAAAATTGAAATATATAGATAAAATCATATCACTTCTAAATATATACTCATGATTGGTTCCCGTTCTGAAATAATTATTTTAGAATTAATGAATGTAAATAATATTTTTCCATGTAATGTGGTTAAAAAAAACAAACAAACAAATAACATATAATCATTTTCCCAAATATAGGTCACATGTACAAAATGTAGTGAGTCTGATAAAACAGTGCGTAACCAATAATTGGTGTAAAACATTAAAGCTTACTAAGGGGTGGTTTGAGATGATTTAAATAAATGTACTTTTTAACTTTTTATAAAAAGATGTGCAAAAAAATAGAGAGGTGACGTGATGAAAAAAAGATAAAAAGATAAAAAAATGTGTACTTATTAGTACACCCCAAACAAGGCCTAACTTAGGTGGGGTTATTATATTTTTTTTAGTATAAGATCCATATTTTTTGACCAATCATATTGTGTATTAATGTTTGAGTTGCCAATTGTGAAGGTTAGGTCTGGTGGCTAGGGTTGTTCACGGGTCGGATTGGCTCCGTTTAGCCGTTCACTATCACCCGAACTGACAACTTCGGTTTGAAAGAAGCATTATCTGATGCCAACTGAGTTATTGTTTGAAACCGTTCAATTCGTGTTGGAGAAACTACGGTCGGTGTTATAATTAGGGGTGGGTAACAGTTTATCCGAACCACTCAAACCGCCCAACCCACCCAACCCGCATATAAATGGACGGTTTCGCAAACATAATGCAGGCGGATGCGGTTTGAAATATGACAAATTTACGGATTGCGGGCGGGTCGCGGTTTAAACCCACAACCCGCAAAAACCGCCTGCACTTTAATTATTATTATTATTATTATTATTTATATACCAACTTTGTAACTTTTATAGGAACACCATTATATTCTCTATGACACTAGGATCCTTATTTTTAACTATTTCTCAACTTTCTTAATCCCGTAGAATTATTAAGTCCTAAACTTGGTTTCTTATATGATTTTCATTGGTGATTCATCCACTTTTTTCTAATAAAATTTTCCTTCTGATAGTCGATGGAGCTTCTAATTTGATTATTGATTACTGAACTAACAATTCTAATTGAGTACAACCTTTAATGCATTGATATACATTTTTTTCATGGCAAAAATACTAGTTATTTTGAGTACTTTCATTTAATGCATTGATATTCAATTTTTATTTGTAAAATCATCAAAAAATTGTTATCACAAATATATAAAATGAATCTAATGCCTAAATTTGATGGGGAAAAAAAACTCAAAAATTAATTTTTAAAGAAAAAAGTGTAAACCGCAAACCACCCGCAACCGCCCGATTTTTATTTATTT